TCCCATTCCCTAGGCATAATTACTGCTAACACCTTCTTGAGTGTTCTAGAAATTTCCTATGCAGATAAAGACATGTATTTATTTCTGTGTAGCTCTTTTTATATACAAATAATCTCAAACTACAGGTACTTATCTGCAACTCTTTTGATTCTTTATTTAACAATTTGACCTTTATTGTTAAATAAATTCTATTATTTAAGTAGATATAATTTGACTTTATTTCTTTCAGCGATGCCCAGCATTCCATAGAATGGATGTACCACATGTGTTTAACCAGTTGATTGGCCTCAATTTTCAGATTTTTAGCTACTACCAATTAAGGGCACAGTGAACATAATAATAGCTAGCATTTACTGATCACAGACATAGTTCTTAGTATATGGTAAGTCACATAACCCTTGTAACAGCCCAATGAGATATAGGCCCTGTTATTGCCCCTGCTTCACAAATAAAGGGACTAAGCCACAAAGAGGTCAGCAACTTTCCCACGGTCACATGTGTGGTAGTACTAGGTCTGGAATTTGAATCAGGCATCAGGTCCCGAGCCTAAAGTTTAAATTAGTACACCATAGTCCCTGTGTATATGCTGTGTACCTGTGCTGAGATATCCATAGAATACATTTGTAGCAGTGCAGCTGCTGGGTCAAAATAAATGCATGTTAAACTTCAGTAGTGCTAAATGGTTAGGAGTTTATTTTATGAAGAGAGCAGCGTGCTTCTTTTCATAATCAAGTACAGAGCCCACTTGTTTCCTGAGAAGAGAAGGGCCCCACCTCTTGTGCCCAGAGACCTCACTAGGTAAGGGTGTTTTCTTTGCAGTGGCCAGGGCTTTAGCTCTGAATCCTATCTAGCCTTCTCCTCTCTGGGTTGGACTGCGCTCCCAGGAGTCTTGGTAACCATGCTTATGCCCTATTACTAAGGCCACAGCCACAAGCTGCCAGAGAATTCAGCCCCTGGACTCCTTTTCTTTCTGTACCCTGTTGGTCTCTCAAGGGCGAGGGTACTTAACAACTAGGAGACTGCCCAGATTCCAGTTTCCTATTCTATCTACAAGAAGAGAAAATGGCAGCCACCTAGAGAAACAGTTGGCTACTCTTTACTTCCCCACCTGAAGCTCCTACATCTAACTGCAAGGGACATCAATGTGGGGCTTCTAGGCCTGGATCCATCCCGGACCTGCACAGAAGTGGGAGGTCAGAGTATGTGGCATGGCTTCTCCATGGCAGTGGAGACAATGGAATCAAACTGATCTAACAATTCTACTTAAAGACTATAACCTAAGGATAAAAATAAGGATGTGCACAGAGTCAGAATTATATATTGGCCAGCACTGTCAGTAACCTAAAGAGGCAATAACAAGGGATTAGTTAAATGATGGTAGGTACACAGTGAAATACAAGAGATCCATTAGTTTACAGACAAAACTGTCTGCAACTTACCGCTATGTCAGTGGTTCTCAAACAGGGGTGATTTTGCCCCCATCTGCACCAGCATGGGATACTTAGCAACGTTTGGGGATGTTTTTGGTCATCACAACTTGGTGAGGGGGTTCGGTGGGGTGTGCTGCTGGCATCTAGTGGATAGAGAGAGGCCAAGGATGCTGCTAAACATCCTACAATGAATGCACAGGACAGCTGCTCACAACAAAGAGTTATCCAGCCCAAAATGTCAGTAGTGTTGAGGTGAGAACTCCTGGGCTACAGGAGGGCAGACAGTGCCCAGCATGTGGCTGTCACCATGACACTCTCCGTTTTTGTTAACAGGGGCAAACACTTAACGACTTATTCACCTGTAGCTTGCCACGTTTTAAGTGGTTTACACCCATTAACTCATTTAATCCTCACAACAAGTCTGTGAGGCAAGTTCCACTGTGATCATCCCATTTACAGATGAGGAACTGAGGCATAGGGCTGTAAAGTACTAGTTCAAGGTTCCCATGGTAGCAGTCTAAGCTTGGCCTCTCACAAGTGCTCACGGCAAGTGCTCCAGGACTTCTCTCCTCTCTCTGCTTCTTCCAGAACCTTGGGAGCACCAGGGGTTGTTTATATCTGTACAAAGAGAAAAAAAAAAAAAAAAAAAAGCAGTCAACTGGTCCTTCTCTTTGATTCTGACATTTCCAGTGGCTTTTGTGTTTTTTTCCTCAGAGGGTTTAACTGAAATGAGTACTGAGGGCAGAGATTATGGACAACCATGAAATTTTACTTGTTGAGTTTACACAAAAAAATCCTCCTGTCACTCCTGCAGTGGTCTCTTAGAACTCTTTCAGCCTCTGGGTCTACAGTCTGGGCAGCTTGGATAGTAGATTTGCTTAGACATGAGAGCAAACTTTATCATCCAGGAGGACAGGAAGGAGCTGGTGAGTCCGTTTTGGGACACCAGGGACACAGGGCTGTTCTGACTAGGCCCATAGTTTGGATGAAGTGGGTACTTCTCCATAGGAGGCCTCCAACAGATGGGAAGTTGTAAATGGGGTGAGGATGGCAGAAGTGGGAAGGGATCTGTTGGATCAAAGCCAACTTTTCACCAGAGGAAATACTTATTAATTACAGGATGCCATAGGATTGGCTTTGCCTCTGAGTGTGGGAGTAGTAAGCTGTGCTTTAAACAAACAGCCCCAGCACTCAGCAATAATTAGCAGCAACAATAGGCACCTTCACAGGACCAGACTGACAGGTGGTTCACAACACACAGCCTCAAGCCTGGCCTGGAACCAGGCTTGGATGCTACACCTGTGGAGCCCGTCAGCCCATGCTTGGGCAGCCTAAGAGGCACCGGCACAGAAGTGACATACCCATTCTTGGGCCATTTGCTGGAAACTTGCTATGTACTAGGCACTGAGAGGAACACAAAAGAAATGTAAGACACAGACCATACCCACAGTCAAGAGAATCGAGGAGACAAGATTAAGTTTGAAAAGTTATAGTAGCACAGAAATATACATAACTGTTCCCCCATATCTGGGGATTGGTTCCAGGATCTTCCCCCCCCACTTCACCCCTGGAGATACCAAAATTCATGGATGTTCAAGTCTCCCGTATAGAATGGTGTAGTATTTGCATATAAGTTATGCACATCCTCCCATATACCGGTTTTTTTTTTTGGCCACGCTACGAGGCTTGCAGGATCTTAGTTCTCCAACCAGGGACTGAACCCGGGCCATGGCAGTGAAAGTGCCGAGTCCTAACCACTGGACCACCAGGGAATTCCAGTATACTTTAAATCATCTCTAGAGTACTTATAATAGCTAATACAATGTAAAGGCTATTTAAATAGCTGTAAATACAGTGTAAATGCTATGTAAATAGTGGCTAGTGAGGGGGCAATTTCAAGTTTTGCTTTTTGGAACTTTATGGAATTTTTTTTTCTTGAATATTTTCAGTCCTTGGCTTGTTAAATTCACAGATAAGGAGGGCCAACTGTATATTACATATAAGGGATGTGGACCCTCAGAGCCAAATGGGAATTCTGGACCAGGTGATGGAAGGGAGAGAGGTCTGTATCACACTGGCATGTTTCTTGTAAAAGAAGTAGGAAACACAAAGGAGAATAAAGAAGAAAATGAATCATATTAACACTTGTCAGAGATATACATTGTTACTATTTTGGTTACATCCTTTAAGATCTTTTTTCTGTGCACATATATGGGTATAAACACACACATTTCATTACATAAATGTCATGTGGTACATACTGTTCTTTGTCTTGCTTTTTATACTTAGCGATAAGTTGTGGACAGTTTTCCTTGTTTCACTGTGTACCTACCATGATTTAACTAATCCCTTGTTACTGCCCCTTTAGGTTACTGACAGTGGTGGCCGATATATAATACCGACACTGTGCACATGCTATTTTTATGCTTAGGTTATAGTCTTTAAGTAGAATCAAAGAATATGTGCACTTTCAGCGGGTTTGGTACATATTGCCCAATTGCCTTTCAGAAAGGATATATCAACTTAGGGTCTCCAGTCCTATGAGAGTGTCTCTTTCACTACATCCTTCCCAATACTAGGTATTATTATTATTTTTAACTGCAAATTTGATAAGCAAAATAGTGTTTCGTTGTTACTGCTTTATTTTTCTTTATTATTATTATTTTATCACTTGGACTTTTATTTTTTTATAGGCCAACTAGTCATTGGTAATTCTCTTGACAAATTGTTTGATTATGTACTTAGTTTTCAATTGGAATAGTCTTTTTTCGTTTTATTTGTGCAGTATTTTATTATTATTATTTAGTGTGGTTTATTCTTTTTGTCTTACTGATTGATAAGAGTACTTGATGAATAGTCAGTCTATTAACTCTTTGTCTTTTTTATATTACAAATATTTTATCCTAGATTGTCATTTGCCATTTAGTTTTGTTCACTATTTAAGCATTTGTAAAAGTGAAATGTCCATGCAATCGAGGTAGTCTGTCTAGGCTTTCCGAACGACTGGGCTGGAGTGGCCATGACTGGGAGCAGGGAGGCCCCATTGGTGGCCCCTGCACTGGTACCAAGGTGGCAAGACGAGGCCCACAGTCAGGGCCAGGCTGGAGAGGATGGAGCTGTGCAGTTCGAGACAGAGTAGAGGTGATCAAGATGTGGTGATCTTGAGTGGGGGAGTGAAGAAGGAGGGAGAGGAGTCTGGGGTGACTCACAGGGTGCTGACCTGTATGGCAGAGTGAGCAGGTGGAGGAAGAACCAGAATCGGGAATACAGGAAGAAAGGGGTTAGGGGTCAGGCGCAGAGACTGTTATAATTCCTCTAGGGATTGTTGTTGGAGTCTCCTGGTAGAGAGAACTCTTTGGTGTTTGAATCTGTAGGCCTGGCCTTGCTTCTGTCTTTGTGTCAAGCTCGGAGAGGCTTTCTCTGCTACAGAATTATAGATTTAAATAAATTCTCTTTTAATACTTTGTTTCATCTGTTTTTTTAGGATTTTTTTTTTTGCAAACCAACACTGTTTTGTTGTCAACAGAACCTGACTGGGGAAGTAGGGGGCCCACTCTGCCCCCGGAGGGGCTATGGACCTTGGTTGTCTGGGGCCCGTGGGAGAGATGGGTCTGTGCAGTGAGAAGAGCTCTGGCCACCACTGGCACCTGGGTGGTCAGAGACAGGGTCTGGGGGGCCAGCAGGAGGCATGGGAGCCCCCGGGGAGCTGGGTCTTGGCTCCCCCTGGCTCATCTGCAAGAAGCCAGTGAGGGCTATCAGCTCAGGCCCACTGAGCCAGGCGGTGGAGCAGCCAGAGGATGGGATGGGGAGGACCCAGGGGGACATTACTGGGGGTGGGAGCAGCAGTTTCAGAGAGCCCATCACCTGCTGAGGGGCCTGAGACAGGTGCAGGGGAGCATGCTGCCCACAGGACAGCGGAGGGTCAGAAAGAAAGAGGTCTTCACAGCGTGTCACTGGGAACCCTGCGTCCCTGTGTGCCTGCTCTCCACTCTGATGTCCTGCTAGCTGGGCCTGAGGCCTCTGCCTGAGGCTGCCTTGTACAGAGGCCAGAATGAGGGATGGCATGAGGTCCGGCCTGAGAAGGAGGTGCCTGACCCACAGCTGGGTCCCCACACCAGCCGAGGTCCCGCTTGAGCCTCCTAGTTGGGGTCCCAGGATGCCAGCAGCGTCATCTTTGACGGGGCCACCTCCCAGGTCGTCTGTGGGGAGCGGGGAACCGGGGCTCCCGGGGACCGCTCGGCAGCCAGGCCTGGGGGCGGCCAAGGCAGCAGCTGCTCCTTCCGGTCCAGGAAGGCCTTCGGGACCAGGGCTGGAGGCTGTCCTGTGGGGTGTTCTTGGTTCCCCCAGGGCTTCCTCTCCAGAGTCCCAGGCCTGGCACCTGCTCTTCACCCACACGCCACTGCCGGGAGGTCCAGGGCAACATGCCACATCCAGGGGGAGGGCAGGACAGGGCCCTGCGCCGCCCGGCCCGCCTGCCAGGCCCCTCCCGGCTCCCACTCGGGCCCAGCTTCCCTCAGCGGCCCGTGCTGGCCTGTGCGCCCCTGCGAGCCCAGGTTGCGGCCCACCTCACAGGCTTTACATTTAAATGTGGATGGAATTTGTCATATTTTGGTGATTGTGAGTTAAAGATTTAACTTTTTTTCCCCTAAGTGACTAATGATTAAAACATCTATCCTTGCTCTCGTGAGCTGAAATAACACCTGTGTCTTACAGCATATTTCCATGTATATACCTGAGTCTGCTCTAGAATTCTCTGGTGTGTTCCACTGAATTGTCTGCTCCTGCACCAGCGCCGTTCTGATCACATTTTCTTTAAATATATCTAATAGGTGCCAGGGTAAGGTGTACTTCACACTTTTTTTCCTCAGAATTTCCTTTGTTCTTTTAGGATGGACTGCAAAATCATTGTAAGCCCTGCTCCCTTGGACTGCACAGTGGGAGCTGGAAACACGGGTGACCCCACTGGGACCCTTTGTATTCATAAGCACCAAATATACCAGGAACTAGGTTTGGTGAGCCTGGACTTTCTTCTTGATACAGAAATCACATGGGGCCTCTTTAGGAAGAAGCCCCTCACTGCCATTGACTTGGGGCATTGCCCAGTCTCTGGCCCAAAGACAGTCCTGTGGACCCTCAGAGCCCCTATGTCCTTGCTGCTGTGGCTGTTACAGCACCCAGCCATATGCTCCCCACTGTAGCCAAGCCAGCCTATACTGGGGTTTTATTCTCCATCTTGCAGGGAATCCTGTCTCTAGCCTGTGCCCTCGGTGCGCTCTCCAAGCCTGCTGTCCTCTAATGATTTTCTGTAGGTTAGCTCTGAGGATCTTTTCTTTTCTTTTTTTTTTTTTTTTTCCAATATTTATTTATTTGGCTGCCCAGGGTCTTAGTTGTGGCACACAACTTCATTGTGGCATGCAGGATCTTTAGTTGCAGCCTGCAACTAAAGTTGCAGCATGCATGCGGGATCTAGTTCCCTGACCAGGGATCGAACCCGGGCCCCCTGCATCGGGAGCGCGGAGTCTTAACCACTGGAACACCAGGGAAGTCCCTGGGGATCTTTTCTTAATCTGTTCTTAAATGTGTTTCTTCTAGAGAATTCATAATTGGCAGCATTGTGATGGCTTCTTCCTAGTTTCTTCTGTGCATGTAAGTTTTTCCCTATTTCGCATTTGCTAGGCTTTTTCTTATTTAAGTGACTTTTTCAGGGTCTTTTTTATTGAGGAGTCATGAACATACCATAAAGTCACAAATCGTAAGCATACATCTCAGTGAGTTTTTATATATGTGTACACTGTGGATCCACCACCCTGATCAAGATAGGTGTTTTAGAGTTAAGAAGCTGTTGGTGGGAGGTTGGGTAGAGAGGGAAGTCATGAGTGTGTCCCCAAGTTGCCATCTTTTTCTAGAACTGCCTTTAAAGAGTGTTAAGGAGGGAGCCACATATCAAGTCTATACGGTATGTGGAGAGCAGAATGGTTAGGAGTGATGGGTCATGTTTTGGTCCTCCCCCTTCCTAGCCATGGGACTTTTGTGCCTCAGTTTCAACAGTTGTAAAATGGGAGTAGATGATAGCTCTTACCTCACAAGGTTGTCGTGAAGATTACACGAGGAATTACATGTAAGTGCACAAAAAATGTTAATTGTTGTTTTTGTTGTTATTAATAATGAGGAGGAGGAGGCAGTAGTTCTTAATGAAGGGCACACATAAGAATCACCTGGGGCACTTTTGCAAAATATACATTCTCAACCTGGCCAGATGTACTGAGTCAGAATCTAGATTTTAAACACCTCCCCAAGTCATTGTGTTGCTTATCTTGGTTAAGAACCACTGGGCTGGAGGTGGCCATGACAGGCTGCAGGAAGATCAGTGGGTGGCCCCTGCACTAGTGAGGGCTGGAGAGGATGGAGCTGTGCAGATTCAAGGCAGAGTGGAGAGGTGGCCGAGATGATGACCTTGGGTGGGGAGCAAGGAGGGAGGGGGAGGAGTCTGGGGTGACTCACAGGGCGCTGACCCGAATGGCGGCTTGAGTAGGTGGAGGATGAGCCAGAATTGAGACTATCGGAAGGGGGGGTGGGCAGCGGGCCAGAGACTGTTAAATTGTCCTTGGGACCATTGAGTGGAGGCTTCTGGTGGAAACACCAAGTTAGTATTTGGATCCGTAGGCCTGAGCCTTTGGTGATTTTCAGGGAGTCGTCACTGTGAAGGAGGGGGTAAAGCCATGGGCCTAGTTGTAGAGTGAGTGTAGAAGGCGGGAGAGGGCCAAGTTCACAAGCATGCACCTCTGGGAAGGCCTGCGTCCACTCCTTCCTCCCTCCTTAGAGACAGAGAAGCACTTATTTCTCATGTATTAATAGCCCCCTTGCTGAGGACTGTTGGGGAATAAAATCAGTCTTCTCACTTGAAGATGAATAATAAGTATGGGTCACTTCCTTTCCTCACAGGTCTCAAGGGTTTCCACATCTGCAGACGGAAGAGCTTAATCCTCCATCAGTATCCTCCGACAGCACATTCAGTTGGGGGCAGTGTCTTATCTTCCGACGTCCGTTCACCCTCACGCTTCACACATACTCCACCGCTGATGGTTTCTTAGACTCTGGCTTTCTTCAGGTCCTTGATATCAACCAGTTACCCTTTGGTAAGAGATTAAGCCATTCCACTACTCTCCCAGAGGCATTTGCATTTAGAACTACAGGTATAATAGAAATAATGGAAGACGTTGCATTCCTGAGGGAAGGCGATCCTGGAATGAATTATTCATTTGCTCATTCTAGAACGTCCCATCCTTCTGCCCTGCCACCCCCTCTCTCTATTCCTGCTCGTGCCTTGGTAAACCCTACTTCCTCCAAGAAGACTTGCCCGACTCCTGTCCCTTCCAGGTGAGGCCAGTTTTAGGGCTCTGAACAGATTCCATTTGGCTTCCCAGTTGAGGGCGGAGGTGGCAGGGATGGATCTCAGGAAGATGTAGCTGCAGGATGGATGTGCATTAGGTCTCTGCATTTCAAACTTCCAGTGAAAAATATATCTTATGTCCCAACTACCGCACACACCTACATACAGATATATAAAACTGAAACAAAAGTTTTGTAAAAATAACACTCACTACGTGTGATGCATTTGGATATTTTCTGTTCTATTTATTTTTTAAAGGAAAATGCTGGTTATAACCCACTGAACTGATTTCACAACCCAGTAATGGGTCACAACCCACAGGGTGAGAAATGCAGAGTGAGATCGTCACCGCTCAGAACAACTCTGAACACAGCCAAGCGGCCCTGTGCAGATGTTGCCCTTCGGGTGCCTCGAAGAGCTTGCAGAGGATGGCACTGGCAGCGGTGTGGTCCGCCTGGTGGTGCTCTGCTTTCTCCGTGGAGTCTCCTTTCAGGGCCCCAGTTGGTTGTGCCGTAAAGTGGCCACAGATGCTTTCTCAGTGCTGTGGAAGGAGGTTGAAGTCTATAAAGCACTCCATACACCCCTCAGAAAGATGCTGGCTCAGTGTGAAGTGTCACAAGGCTGTATACCTCATCCCATTTGATGAGGCTCCTCATGGAGACAAAGCTTCCAGGCCCCATGGGGCTCACAGGTGCTGCTCACCTGGGAGGGCTAATGGATAACAAATAGAATAAAAGCAAAACAGGGAGCCCTTGCATGCAGCATAGCAGTGACAGAAACATCTTCCTGGTTAGAGGATGGATGATAAATATATGTAAGGAACATTCCAGGGGGGCAGTGAGTCTTGGAGCCGCATCTCCCTTTGGAACTGGAAGTTACTGAAAACCGAACCCACAGAAATAGCTACCTCAAAACCCCTGCATTTAAGCCAGGTGTTTTATCCCTCTGAGATCCTCAAAGCCTGTTGACATTTACTTAGTACGCTTTTCTAAGAAAAGTGGCTATCTGATGTCTCAACCCACTGCAGAAGAAAATTGCCTGGAAGGGTGGTGGTAGGTCTTTTCCAGAGAGAGACATGTAGATAACAGGAAAGTAAAAGCCATGGGGAAGGATAGAGAAACAGTAAGAAGGGGACACAATCATGTTATTATCTAGTTCCTTAGGGAATGTTCCTAATGACCACTTATGTGGGGAAAGGACATTTTTTAAAGCATTAGAGAGCAGTGGACCACATTTTAGCAAGATTTCACTTTAAAGTGGTTGGCCATTGAAGTTTCACTTTTCAGGAAAAGTATTCATGAGAACCTCAGTGATTCTGCATAAATTAGGTGCTGTTGAACTGCCCCTGATTAGGGCTAGTCATGGGTTTGAGGCATGCTGTAATCTCAGGTTCACGGGCAAGTCCTCCCCACCCAGCGCTAGTCAGCCTCATAGCCTGAAACCCCTCCATTACTGTTACTGTTGGGTTCCGTTGTTCACCTGTGTGAATTTGTGAATAAATTCTTTCCAATCTGAAAGCTTCTTGATAGTGGCTCCCGGATATTCTGAAGGTAGATGTAGAGAGAGAACTCTGATCTGGACCCCACCTGAGGATGGGGTGGCCTAAATGACCAGAGAGCAGGACAAAACCACTGGGATTTGGACTGTGGTGAGCTTTTAGGGAGCAGTGGGGGGCAGGCTTGGAAGCTGAGCTCCACCCTTTTCACTGCTTTCAGTACTTGAGAACAGCCCACTCACTGAGACAGAGCCAGGTCTCTGTTTCTTCCATAGCCTGTCCCCTCGCGGCTCACTGGCCACCTGATCCCCAGATCTGCTTCTGTGAGTTACCCTGAGTGACTGCAGGGGTGCTCCAATAAGTAAGGGGACCTCAAAGAAAAGCCAGCTGTTTCTGAGGCAAAGATCATTTATTCCATATCATCTGAGAAAGCAACCTTTAAGTAGAAGGCAGTGGGGTTGGTGGTGTGTCACACCACCAGGAGGTTTCTGTCTTAACAATAGATTGCTACATAGTATGCATGCATAATACATTACAA